TGTGGACACATAGTTTTCCACACAGAACATAATGTTTTTCAAATATATTCTTATTATTTGTATTTCACCAGCCAATTGTGATATTTTTTACTTTAAATGATTTTTATAATACAGGGCCTTCCAATTTATTTGCACCCCCTATAATTTCCAAAGAGCTTGAAATTGGTTTTAAACTAATATGTCTACCCCAAATTGTTTTGTGAATTAGAGCTTGATTTATAGATTGCCTCCTTCCTTCCTACCTTCCTCCCGTAAAAGATGAACAATACGAAAACCGTTGTGCTGTTTATAGCTTCCCTTACGGAACTACGGTTTTTGTATTGTTCATCTTTTACGGGAGGAAGGAAGGAAGGAAGGAAGGAAGAAAGGCAATCTATAAATCAGCCTAGGCTTAATGCATTAACCAAATTTTTTAAATAATATATTCTATTAAAAAAAAATATTTTGATTTCATTATTATAATACAACAATGCTTTTAAATTTTTTTATGTACGGGTTTATTATTACATATTTTTGTGTACGATAAATCCGTTTTCAAGACTTATCCATCCATGTTATAATTACAATAATTATTACAACATAGAACAGTAGATGTGAGTGATACTAAAGCCCGTATTAGAGTCTGCAATTTTACTTGCAGCAATCTCTCTTGCAGCAATTTTTCTTGCATGTAAGTTTTATTGCTGACGACTGTAAAGCTGGATTTATAGTTTTAAAGGTAACGGTAGAGGCAGCGGTAAAGGTAGCGGTAGAGGTAGCGGTAGAGGTAGCGGTAGAGGTAGCGGTAGCGGTAGAGGTAGCGGTAGAGGTAGCGGTAGCGGTAGAGGTAGCGGTAGCGGTAGCCGAGTTCGGATTGATTATAATATGAAACAATTTATAGTTGTCAGAGGTAGCAGTAAGGGAGGTAGATGCAAGAACGAAGCGGCAAGAGATGATCACCTTTTTTCATCTTTTCTTACCTCAACCGCTACTCCAGCCAATCACACGGCAGTTTTTAGTTGTCAGTTTCGCCTTGTAAGTTTAGTTTTTATGCGAGGGGCAACCAGACTTGATAAATTGTCAAAAATAAGCACCGTCATTTGTGTATTTAAAGAACTGCTCTTCCCGATTTAATTTTCTCGTTTTATATCGACATACTTGACGACCGCCATAACGTACGTACTTGAAACCCTGCAATACAACATAATATATTGAATTGCAGGGTTTATTATATAATATTTCGCACAACGCCATATGGCCCAGAAGCACAGCATTGTCCTCGCAATCCATGTTTTTGTAGAAAACTTAACCTTTTGCTGTCAAGTTTTACATACAAAATTATAATCTGCATTAAAGTACGCATGCGCCGCCAGTACCGCTACCGCTACTTTCTGAACTATAAATTGCAGAAAGTGATACCGCTACCGCTACCTCTACTGCTACCTCTACCGCTGCCTCTACCATTACCTTTACAACTATAAATCCAGCTTAAAGCTGGATTTATAGTTTTAAAGGTAACGGGAGAGGCAGCAGTAGAGGCAGCGGTAAAGGTAGCGGTAGAGGTAGCGGTAGCCGATTTCGGCATTGATTATTATATGAAACAATTTATAGTTGTCAGAGGTAAGGGAGTTCCCTGCTTAAAATACCCCATAGAGACCTATACAAAATAATATATCGGGCGCTACCGGATTCTATATGTGCATTTGTCCATGGGTTTTTCCGGATACAGCCCGATAGAAAATGTATAGGAAATTACCTATAGGCACACCATAACTTTTACATTTTCCCTATTGAGACCGATATAAAATAACTCAATGAAGGATATATAGGGATATCCCTATAGAGCAACCATAAAACATTTGACAAAATTTTATTAAAACCTATAGGGTCCTATAGGGAAAAAACTAATTTCTACATTTATGTGTATTTTCCCCATTGAAACCGATAGCAAATAAATCAATGGTGGATATCCCTATAGAACAACCATAAATCTCAACTACGGGTCCTATACAAACCGATACACCCTATAGAAACACCATACATCCCGATACAAATATCTATCGGTTTGAACGGGTCTATGTGGGGTATTTTAAGCAGGGTTAAGCTGGATTTATAGTTTTAAAGGTAACGGTAGAGGCAGCGGTAAAGGTAGAGGTAAAGGTAGCGGTAGCAGTATCACTTTCTGCAATTTATAGTTCAGAAAGTAGCGGTAGCGGTACTGGTGGCGCATGCGTACTTTAATGCAGATTGTAATTTTGTTTGTAAAATTTGACAGCAAAAGGTTAAGTTTTCTACGAAAACATGGATTGCGAGGACAATGCTAGCAAAGCTGTGCTTCTGGGCCATATGGCGTTGTACGAAATATTATATAATAAACCCTGCAAAACAATATATTATGTTGTATTGCAGGGTTTAAAGTACGTTATGGGGATCGTCAAGTACGTCGGTATAAAATGAGGGAATTAAATCGGGAACGAGCTAAGAAACGCCATTTCCAGTATTAAAATAAAATAAAACTGACCGATAAAGAGTAGTTCTTTAAATACACAAATGACGGTGCCCATTTTAAATCCTGCTTTAAAACTATAAATCCAGCTGTAGAGGCAAGAACGTAGCGGCAAGAAATAACCATCTTTCATCTTTTCTTCCCTCAACCGCTACTCCAGCCAATCACACGGCAGTTTTCAGTTGGCAGTCTCGCCTTGTTAGTTTAGTTTTTATGCGAGGGGCAACCAGACTTGATAAATTGTCAAAAATCCCTGGCGAAAATTAAATGTGCAAAATTATTTGAGAACAATGTGCAGAGGGTGGGAAATGGAACATGAAACAATGTGCAAAACCAAAAATTTACAAGTGTGAATAATCACTGGACAATGTTCTAAAGGGAACTCCTTTTGATATTTCACATTGTTTGCACACTGTTTCTTGCCACGTTCTGTTGTTTTTGGTGACCTCTAAAGTCTTTTTTTAAATTGCAGAAAGTGATACCGCTACCGCTACCTCTACCGCTGTCTCTACCGTTACCTTTAAAACTATAAATCCAGCTTTAAGTCTACATCCAATTATTAATCATACTTAAATCTTAAAGACTATAAGTAATAGTTAATACTTAAATGTCAAACTTGACTTTTGCATTATTTAATACAGCAAATTTCAATGTACAGTTCATTAAACTATTAAACGTTTAAAAAATGTGTAATTTAATAAATAATAATAGTGTGCAAACAAACAGAACATAAGCAAAACAGTAAATGAAGGAACAAGCGTATTATGCTTTTATATTGAAAAATGAAAGCCACAGAGTCAGTGTTGCCAACTCCAGAATTCTTTATTTGGATTGGTCGGACGAAAAAACAGTAAAAGAGATAAAAGTTGGACACAGTTTTGTATTGTCTGCCGAAGCAGAAGGTTGTAGACGGCCTTCCTTGGGAAGACAATATGGGACTCCCAGTACAAAAATACGCTGGTATTTATTAAATATACAAAATCTACATCAGATTAAGTAAATTACGAGAAATTCCCACAACGGATGGTTAGAATATTTACGGAAAAAAGTTTGCAAGCAGACAATTGCCATGTAACGCATGGTTGAAATTAATAAAAAAAAAGAAGAGTAGTATGGATGAATGGAAGTGTATTGAAGATAAATGTAATTAAAAAGTGATAAAAGAAAATAGACATAAAGTGATTTTAAAATAAATATATTATATAAATGATTCAAGGGATGAGTTTAACTCAGACTCTCTTGATTGAGACCCTTGTTCATATTAACTTTTTTTAAACATAATGAGCTGGCCAAATAGCTTTTAAATTAAGCTAAAGGCCATTACCCCTGAACACAGTTATCTGTGTTCAGATTTAAGAAGAAGAAGAAGAAAAGTTGGACATTCCCTTCTCTCTTAAAATTAATTAGTCAAAATTAACTAATTATAAGTCATATTTGACTAATTGTCATAGAGAAAAAGCAGTCACTAATAATTAGTCAGTTCTACTGAATGAAATAGTCAAATTAGTAGATTTATGGGATTGGACTCAGGTCTGTCACTTGTCAAGCTTGTCAAGCTGTTGTCATAACCCATTCGGCTATCAGCCGCTCTTATAAAAATCAATTTTATTTGTCAATAAATGAGGAGCATCCGTGCAAAACCGGCTATATCCATTTTTATAAAATGTTGGGAAAATTGCAAAAACTCCCTGTTTTCTGGCCTTTACAGATAAAAAAATGCATCTTGAGTTTTGTTTTGTTGCTGTTTTGAGCTAAACTTTTTGCATCTTTATTTGTTTTTATTGGTCATTTAACCACGGCGCTTAGGTATATGCATTTAATTCAAAAAATACTTTGTTGTTGTCCGCAAACGATTAAAGAAATTAGTTACTTTTAACTCTCAGAAATAGTCAAAGATGGTGACTAATCTTAAATTAAATACTAATTCAAATAGTAGAATTTTGACTATTTCATTTTTAGAGTTCCGTTTCCGTTCCATTTATAAACAAGAGTACATAAATTCAATAGTTTAGCTTTAGGCTTATCCAATTGTATCTATTATATTCGTACGTTTCTATAGATTTATAAAGGCATAAAGCAATCTTATGTAGATATTGGCTTTTGATTATATTTTATGGCTAATTTTTGTAAAAAAAAATATATATATGGTAACGGTGACGGTGATTACTAAAACAATTATTATTATAATAATTAGGTGACGGTGATAAGTTTAAATAATTTATTTATAATTATTATAATTATTTACAAATTTCAAAACTTATAAATTACACAAATTGCTATAAAATTGAATCAAGAGTTAATATCGAGATATAACTGCTTTTACGTCTTTAAATACATAACAAAACCAATAGAATCTCACTTATGGCAGTCTTGCGCTCTACGAAAAAAAAAATAAGCTACAATTTCTACAGTGGCCTCTCCGAGTATTTGTCGTTGTAATCTACAAAATATATTTAGAGGGCAAATAATTATTTCATAAAAACTATATAAAATTGTTAAACACAATTTGTTTTAGTGGATTGGGCAGCGCTTTCATCTATTCCATGTTATGCCACGGCTTACTTAAATACTTGGCACGTAGGGCAATGTGTTGCTGTATTAGCTGCAAGTTTAATATATTCAGGAGTTCATCCTGATTTAATTCACGTCATAGGATTTAGCTTGGGAGCGCATATTGCTGGATTTTCTGGTGCTCATATAAATCGAACCATAGGAATTCCATTTAGACGAATTACAGGTAAATTATTATTTTGTTAAAGTTTCATATAAAAAATTTAATTTTAAGGGTTGGATCCTGCCCTTCCTTTTTTTGCTACTCTTAAAAATGATTGGAAGCTTGATAAAACAGATGCCAAATTTGTTGATGTAATTCATACAAGTGCAGGATTTTTTGGAAAAATTGAAGCCTCTGGTCATGTGGATTTTTATGTTAATGAAGGAACTTTACAACCATTTTGTGAAAAGGCGAGATGTATTTATTTAATTTTTTATTTAATTCCTTTATTTAATAATATTTTATAGATCCGCCTCTTTGTAGTCATATATTAGCGGGAATCTATTTCTCTGAAACTATTAGAAATCTAACAAGATTTGTCGGTGTAGAATGTAATAACAGACAAAGTTTTATTCTTGGCCATTGCAATAAAAATAGAAAAGCAATAATGGGGGAATATACGGAATTGAGGTAGAGTACAACAATTTATATACCAAAAATATTTATTAATCAATAATTATACTTTCAGAAATTCTGGAATATATTACGTAAAAACTTCTAAGGAATTTCCTTTTGGAATGGATTAAAAATATTATAAAATTTATTACGTTTTAAAGTTGTTAAATATATTTTGTCCCAAACTTAGTTAGAATCGAGACTTTAAGGGCTCAAAAACAATGGACACAGTCAGGGCCGGCCAAGGTACGGGCGAACCTGGCAACGGCCCAGAGCGGCATAATGGGGGGCGGCATTTTTACGTGTGTTAATCAATTTTATTCGATATACTAAAATTTTTTCAATTGGCGATTTTTTCAAGAATTACGCTCATGAAATGCAGTTTACATAATTTAATATCTTTGTTACAAAGATTTAATAGAGGCGCTCTCGGAAAACATATACTTACCACACTTTGTGGTAAGTATATACAACACTTTACAACACTCTATATATATATATATATATATATATATATATATATATACAGTGTGTCGCATTTAAGATGAAGACACCCCCATATTTTCGCTATTTCCAGGAATACAGATTTGAATTTTTTCACATTCATACATGTTGGTGGGTCACATTTTTTAAGATACTCAACTGAAATCTGAACTTTAAACTTGGCCTACTACGAATTCACAAACGGGGCCAGTTGTCGATATTTTGCTTCGCGTTAGAAATATCGAAAAAAATTATTAGAAAAAGTTGTTCAGAATAATATTATTCTAACCTCGTATACCGATTTTTATAACAAAATTCGCATTTCTAATTTATTTATTTTTATTAGTTTTATTATTGTTTTATACCATTTCTTTAATTTAATAAATTAAAATTGATTTGTAATTTTCAAAAATTGTTTTAATTATTTATTTAACGGTCATAAACACTATTTAGTATCAAATTATTACTTTCCATGGCTCCCTTATTATCAAACTAAAAAATGAATTTTGTGGACCAAAATAAAAAAAAAATTAAAAATGCGAATTTTGTTATAAAAATTGGTATATGGGGTTAGAATAATATTCTGAACAACTTTTTCCAATAACTTTTTTCGATATCTCTAACGCGAAGCAAAATATCGAGAAGTGGCGCTGTTTGTGAATTTGTAGTAGGCCAAGTTTAAAGTTCAGATTTCAGTTGAGTAGCTTAAAAAATGTGACCCATCAACATGTATGAATGTGAAAAAATTCAAACCTTTATTCCTTCAAATAGCGAAAATATGGGGGTGTCTTCATCTTAAGTGCGTCACACTGTATACATATATATAATATTAGGGTGAGCCAAAAAAACTAACCTATCGGATTTATGGGTTAAAATGAACCTCCATACCGAGCAAAAAATTTTCCTGCAAGGAAAAATTTTTTGCTCAATTTTAAAAGGTGTCGGTGAGCATTCTAAGTTTTCCATTGAAATAACACGTAAAAAAATCTTTTTTCATTAAAAAAAATATAACTTTTGAACCGTTTGAGATAAAAATTTTTACGTCGCGGATTCTTGTAGAGCATAAAATTTCCTACAAAATCTATCCCAGAATTATTTTTTTTCAATTTAAAAATTCGTATATTTGAAAGCTTTGAAAAGTGAAAAAAATCATAATATTTAGTTTTAGTGTTTTTGACTAAAAATGTTCATTAGGGTGTTTCATTTAAAACGAAAATTTTTTTTTTCTTGCTGACACATGAAAATTTCGTTTTTTAGGTTGAAAAAAAATTCCCTGAAAATTTGAGCCCTTAATTTTGATTCTAAGTACTTCCTTTTTAATTTTGTAGTTTTTCCATATAAAAAGCATGTATTTTTAATCATTTTTACTTTAAATTTCTATATTTTGGCCGGGTTTTGAATTATAATTTTTATCACCATAATAAAGGCCCTGCATCAATTTTGTTTTTGATTTATTTACGTTGATTGTAGTAGCTCCAAAAGTCGTTTTTTCACTTTTTCTCATATTTTTGAGAAAATCGAGCGAATAACTGGTTTTACCGAAAAAGTTCAAATAATTTAATTTTTGACTAAAAAGGTTTTTACGTTCATATCACTAAAGTGCTTTGTTTAAGAGATATAATCAATATATAGTTGTTGAATGAAATTACATAAATTTCAATAAAACCTATTTTTTCTTTGTTTTTGGTTATTGAATTGCTTATATCTCTTAAACAAAGCACTTTAGTGATATGAACGTAAGAACCTTTTTTGTCAAAAATTAAATTTCCTACAACTTTTTTATTTGAACTTTTTGGGTAAAACCAGTCATTCGGCTTTTCTCAAAAATATGTGAGAAAAAGTGAAAAAACGACTTTTGGAGCTACCACAATCAACGTAAATAAATCAAAAACAAAATTGATGCAGGGCCTTTCAAAAACCGTCAATACTATGCAGAAAATTATGGTGATAAAAATTATAATTCAAAACCCAGCCAAAATATAGAAATTTAAAGTAAAAATGATTAAAAATACATGCTTTTTATATGGAAAAACTACAAAATTAAAAAGGAAGTACTTAGAATCAAAATTAAGGGCTCAAATTTTCAGGGAATTTTTTTTTCAACCTAAAAACCGAAATTTTCATGTGTCAGCAAGAAAAAAAAAATTTTCGTTTTAAATGAAACACCCTAATGAACATTTTTAGTCAAAAAACACTAAAACTAAATATTATGATTTTTTTCACTTTTCAAAGCTTTCAAATATACGAATTTTTAAATTGAAAAAAAATAATTCTGGGATAGATTTTGTAGGAAATTTTATGCTCTACAAGAATCCGCGACGTAAAAATTTTTATCTCAAACGGTTCAAAAGTTATATTTTTTTTAATGAAAAAAGATTTTTTTACGTGTTATTTCAATGGAAAACTTAGAATGCTCACCGACACCTTTTAAAATTGAGCAAAAAATTTTTCCTTGCAGGAAAATTTTTTGCTCGGTATGTAGGTTCATTTTAACCCATAAATCCGATAGGTTAGTTTTTTTGGCTCACCCTAATATATATATATATATATATAAATAATATAATTTTTTGGGGAAGCGGTACATCAGCGAATAGAGTATTTATTATTCAAAAGCGCGCAATTCGAATAATGTTTAACCTACCTGGTAGGGCTTCCTGTAGAAATACTTTTATAAATAAAAAATGACCAACATTGTATGGAATATATTTATATATAGTATTATGAAGTTTGTTTTTAATAACCAACTAGTAGTAATTTTCACTCATATTCCACAAGAAGTGGCTCAAGATTATGTGTTCCGAGACACACAACTTCTTTGTTCTGGCATCAAATTTTTTAACAATTTATTAAGGAAACAAAAAATTATAATGGTTTTAAAAGAAAACTGAAAGACTTTTTAATTGAGGAATGTCCTTATGAACTAAATAAGTTTTTATGATAAATTTGTAGGTATTTCCGAGTATATTTACTTGTAGTTCATGTATTGTATTTCTGTGACTTGTCTATACATATGAATGTTATCTATGTCAATTGAAATAATAAATTATTAATATTATTATTATTATTGCTAAGGTAGTTTGATAATAAGAAGTATAAAATATCTGAAAAACGCAAAAAAGATTCAGGAACTTTTTTAAAAACAAAAGAAGGGCGCGTGAGGCGGAAAATCGAGTACTACCTTTTCCAAATTCTTGCAAAAAGAACCATCATGGGCAGGTCCCAGCTAGCACAAGTCTGTCCTAAGGACGTCCTAAGGAAAGCCTTACAGGATATTGGGTTATCCCAAGGATATCCTAGGACGCCCTCAGAGCTCCTCAGGACATCCCAACCAGTGGTGCAAAAAAGGCCAGCCTACAGACGTCCCGCAAATGGCCTTTAGGATATCCTAGGGATATCCCTAGGTACATATAGGTCCAGGAATAGGACATCCTAAGGATGTCCCCTGAAAGTCCCATGGGTATATGTAGGTCCAGGAATGGGATGTCCTGAGGACATCCTCTGAATGGCCTTGTTTTTTGTTGGGGATACATTTTAAACAATCAAATACCATTTTATTACTTTATAAAATATATTATTTTAATTCTGTATATTTAATTTTACACAGCCAATTATATAAAATAAAAAATAAACAATCAAATACCATTTTATTACTTTATAAAATATATTATTTTAATTCTGTATATTTAATTTTACACAGCCAATTATATAAAATAAAAAATAAAGACCTATTATAAAAGTAAAATAAATAATAATTCTAAATAAATATAATAGTTATATTATTTATATATACAGTGTCCAAAGTTATCTGCTCACCATTTTAACTCCATTATTATTGCAGCTACAAAGTCGGTTAAATTAGCAAATTTGTGGCATTTTTTCTTCTGATTAAAATGGTTAAGACAGAATAACAATTGAACATCAGGTTTCTGAAGTAATTACAAAAATAACATTTTATTAAATGAAAAGACAACTCAATATGGAACAAAAAATTATTATAGCATAACTACCCTAAACTTAAAAATAAACAATTAATAAGCACTGGAACTTTCTGATTGTTGTTGAAATGCCTATTAATTGTTTATTTTTAAGTGTTATTTCGAAGAGAACACTATAACAATATTATATTATAACAAACACACTTGGAGAACACGAGATTCACGGCCTTAAACCAGGTTCACGACACAAAAAAAGAATTCACGGCACAGAAAAAGATTTGCCCAGCTAGCATTTATGATTTCATATTGACGTCAGAATAAAATCAGACGTGAAAATCGTTCGTCACGTCTGTCGAGAATCTGACGTCAGCAATATGAAGTCAGACTGAAATCAGATGTGATTTTTGTTACTGCTGACGTTGGCTTTGAAATCATACTGATGTCAGAATGAAATCAGATGTGATTTTGTAAAGAGACCGGTAAACCGGTAGAAAGAAAACTTTAAAGAATAAGTAAAATCAGTCGAGATTTTTGGTCCCGCTGCAGCGCGCTGACGTTGGCTTTGAAATCATACTGTTGTCAGAATGAAATCATACTGTTG